GATTTTTCTTCTGCTTCATTCTGGTATATCGGGGGAAGGAGTAGGAACCAACAGCTAATAAATAAAGAGTGTATCACTGTTCTATGTTAAAGTCTTTTTCTTTTGTTTTTAAATAGGAAAATCTTCCTCAATTCTGTTGACAGCACTATTACATTAATAGAGCTGAAGGGAGATTAAAAATCCAGGACTAATATTTAGGGATAAGCAGGAGAAGTGTAATGACAACGCTGACGTGATAGAAACCTTCCCAAGACACCAGGGCTCTGAGCAAATCTAGTATTTTTGCTTCACTTTAACATTGAATGTTCAAGGCAACACTCAAGGTTCCCCACTAAACTCTCTCACAAATGACTCAAAGTACTTGCTTACACAAAAGTTATAATTAACAAAGATGATTCACTTCCACCTATTCACACTGCGGGTGCACTGTATCTCAGGCTGCAAGAACAACATATCCAGAAGGAAAGTAGTAGCCACTACGCATGCTGGTGACAGTTTATCACTAGTCCACTTCTAATATTCAAGGAACAATCACCAGCTACAGAGTTAACTCTTGCCACACCACTTGTGATGCCAGGAAGTCCACTGAAAGCGAGTAGACTAAATTTTATTCAGGAGCATGCCAACATTTCTATTCTATTCTACAGAGTTAGATTTTCATATGGGAACAGGAAGGACAAAATGCTCTAAACAAGCATTTTCTAATGCTCCTGAAGATTTTCTAAGTAACACTTAAGACCCAAAGCTTGGTATTCTTGTAAGCACTCATTTTATTAATCCATTAGCAAACAGTTATGGAAGCAATAGAACAAGCAAACTATTAATAATCTTTTTTCTGCAATGTAACCCTCAGCTAAAGCTCAATTTGAAGAATTTACCTACAACTTAGATAATGATAAGCAATTTAAATGTATATTACCAAATGCAAATCGGCAAAACATTTTTCCTACAATACATTATCTGAATTTCTCATAGAGCTATAGCATTTGGTATTTGTTGAAGACTATTTACAGAATGTCACTGGTCAGCCAAATAGCGTGAACTGATGAACAGGAAACTGAAAATTGGTGCTGTCAGGGCAGAGTAAAAAAATTAAACCACTGTGACGATTGTTTTCAATACAGTAAGCATAAAATCCTTTAAAATAAAGGCAAGTAGTAAAAGCCCTAAACTCTGGGAATAAAGCTTTCAAATCCACTCTCAGAGAAACTTTCAGTACTTGTTGGCAATCTTTATATGGCCAGAAGAATTAAGGGCTTTTATGTGGGCGTTTTCTTTTCTGTGAAGCACAAGCATTTTGCATTGCAGTTCCAACTTATTTTAACCACAAACCAAAATGAGAATGTAAACAGGACTGATACACAGAAACTCTTCCGAATCAACAATTGTTCCTTCTTATTTGTACAAACTGTCACAGACTCCCTAAAAGGCATATTCACTTGTAAACATGCACATGTCACAAGCTGGTAAAAAAGGTCAGTGTAAAACTTCCTCTTCACGCAGAGCCAAGAGGTAAAGTAGGAATAAGGGACTGCCTGGCAAGCGCCTCGGTCAACTGAAAGCACCAAACCTAACTAGTTTCAGTTCACCTTCCAATGTTTTAAAGGCTGGGGGGGGGCGGGGATCGCTGCTGTCCCCCGAACACCACCCTAGGCCAGCGCAGCGTGTCCCTGTCCCACCTTTCTTCCGACCAATTGTCCATTCTCTTTTCAGCAGCAAGACGTGCGGCTCTGCCTCATCAGCACCCAGCCGGATCAGCTTCCCCCAGGGCTGCTGCTGCTGGCTCTGCTCGCCTCCTTCCGAGTGCTCCATTTGGATTCACATCTGACAAAAACAAACAAAGCGAACCCAAACCCCACTATCACACAGCACCCAGGGA